ACAACATAAGAAAGACTTAAATTATATGAAGAATATTTTAAAGAATGTGCAATAAAATAAAAAGGAAGATCAATAAATAAGTAGAAGAAATATATAATCCTAATAATATATAATTAAATAAATATATATAAAGTTATAGAATAGAAGTTTAAGAAAAAAGCGAAGTATTTTTTATTGTAAAGCTTTTTTCTTTAGATGATAGAGAATCTATAATTCCAGAAAAAATATATTTTATTATGGTAAAATAGGGTGAAGATTATGTATGGAATGCCTACATCCATAGATCTTATAGTCTTAAAGAACTTTTAAACATAAGATTAGTTTCTCTTTAAATATCACTTTCAAAGGTTTTAGATAAAATTAATGATGTTAAAGAAATTCAAAATAATTCTTAATAATCAGCAACTGAATTATAATCTTCAAATCAAAATATAAATATATATTGATTATATATATATATATTTTTTTTTATATTACTTATTTTTTGAATCTATATTTTTAATAAAAGAATTTAAATTTAAAAATATTTTTCATTTTTATTTCAAATATAAGGTAATTAATTAAACTTATAATGATTTACATTTAATTTCAGGGTATTACCGAAATTCATATAGCACATATTTATTAAATTAATATCTTCTATATTATATAAATATATTTTTTTTATTATTTATAGATAATAAATTTTTCAAATTATACTCTAGAAAATAATAAATGTCTAAATTTCTATTTATTTCAGGTATCTTTAAATAATTTTGAAAAGTTTAACATTAAATTATAACAAAGTTTAGAATATGCTTTATATTAGATTTATAAATGGTAAAAAATTAATAAATTTTAAATTTAATAGATATTTTTAATAAAATTAACTAATAAATAAATTTTACATTCCATAAATTATTCTTAGTTCTAATATATACTGAAAAAAAATCTATATTCTTTAAATTTTATAATTTAATAAATTCAATATAATAAACAATTTATTTAAAATATCTTTAATAAAATTAATGTTTAAAATATTAAAAAATTATAATCAATATATATTATCAAATATAAAATATTTAAATATATTTTAAAAATTTTTAAAACATAGATTAATTTTAAAATGAATTAATAATAATTGTAAAGACTTAAATATAAAGTAATTTCATATACAAGTCAACATAATTAACATTAAGTATTCGAATTGGAGACTCAATCGCCTTAATCTTGTGGTTGGTAATCTGAAATTAATTGTATTTATCCTTAGGAAATAATTTTTAAATTTTTACATTTAGTTAAAATAAAGCAAATATAGTTTTTATCACATTAATATAAAATAAGTTCAAAAATTGAAATATTTATAAGCATTCCAGAAAAAAACAATACATAAATATTAGACTTAAAATATAAAAAATTAGGATATTTAATTTAGATCCAAATGAAAGAACAAATTACTAATCTAGGGAATTAAAAAGTGTATTTATAGATACCCAATGCGTTTACTTAAAATTAGTTTTTCACAAACATCATAACAATATTCATAACACATAAAATTAGGTATAATTATAATTTATCATTAATTTCATTTATTATAGATAGGATTAATTTAATTAAGCACATTTGGAGAAATTATTAAATAGGAAAATTCAATACATTAATCACCTGAAATTCAGGATTAAAACTACTAAGAAATAATTAAAAGACTAGAAGAAATAAAAGAAATAAAAGTATAAAATGAAGATTTTGAAAAAGCAAAAAGTATAAAAATAATACTATAAAATATAAAATAATAAACATAATTATTAAAGTAAACATATATAAATTATTATTAATAAAATGTTTTATGTTTTTATAATAGATAACTTGAATAAAAAAAGTAATCAGCTGTTGAGAAAGAAGATTATGATAATGCTAAATAATGTAAATTATAAATAGAAAAAATAAAAAATTATTTGAATTAAATTACTGAGGAATATGATTAAATAATTGATGATAATTAATAGTAAAAAATATAAAGGTAAGTGTAATAATAATATAACCAAGTTGACTTTAATAGATAGATTTAATCTAATTATGAAAAATAAACTTAAGTTCAAACATTTACACCAAAAGGTATAAATATATATATATATTTAATAAAATATATAATAAATAAGAAAATGAATAAAGAATTATCAAATAAAATAATTTTGTTAAAAATAATGATTTTGATAATAATTTAGTTTAGAATAATTATTAAAATTAAAAAACAAATTTAAATCCTTAATAAACTAAATTAATGAAATATATTGCAAATACTTTAGGAGAGGAAATATCATATTTAATTTTTAAAGGTGATAATAAAAGTAAAGAACAGGGGGTTTATTAATTATAGGAAAAAATATAAAACTAATAAATTTTTTAATTTAATAATGACAAAGAAATTGTTTTTAATGCTATATGCGCATTATGCTCTTATACAATGTAAAATTAAAACGAATAAATAGCATAAATATCTATAAATATATTATAATAAATATCATAATCAATTAATTTAATACTAAAAAATATAAAAATTGAACAACTCGAGTAAAAAATGTTATATATTTTAATAAAGATTTTTTTTTTATTTATAGTGATATATTTAGTTGTTTGATTTAATTAATTTAATAAATAAATAATAATACAGAAAACTATGAAAGCATTTAATCTATATTATATACTTTTGGTAAAATACCATAAATAGGAAATTCCTATATAATAGATTTATTAACAAATTAAAATTAATAATCATATAATTAAAATATTGTTGCTAAAGTAAAGATTATCGAAGATTTTATAAAAATATATGATATAGATAATTAAGAAATACCATTGTAACCTGTAATGTAATTTTTAATAAAAAATTTGAATTCAAAAGATATAGGAATTTAAAATTAAATTTTAAACTTAATTATTTATATACAAAAAATAATTGGAAATTAAAGAATTTAAAACTATTTAAAATAAATACCTGAATAGTTTTAATTAACAATATAGAATTAATTTTAAGATACAAAATAAAATATATAAAAATAGTAAACTAGCAATAATAATTCTTGCTATTTTTGTGGTTTAGAAAGCTAAATATTTTCTAAAGATCCGAATACTCTGGATATACATATGTGGAAGTAATGTAAAATGCTCACTAATTGTAAACATTGTTAATAAATAATTGAAATTTCAACAATCACTATACATTTACTAGAAGAATGTTCGCAATCAAATTAATTCAAAAAATGTCCTAGATGTAAGGAACCAATAATGATAAATGAATTTGAAAATCATAAAGAGAAAAAAACTTGTCTTCCTGCTAAAAATTCTGCGATTGCAAACAGATGTAATCTTTGCCATTAAGATATTGAACCAGGTTAGCAAGGTTGGATTAATCACCTTTAAAATAATAAATGTGCATTTAATATTAAATAATATTGATTAAAATTTCTAATATTTTTGTTAACAATAATAAAATTACAGTAGATCACCTTTTCTTTTTTATATTAACTGATTTTCAGTCATATATTTATCATTTTTGCATTTTTTATTTGATATTTTATCATATATTATTTATAAATTTAATATATTAAATATTTTAAAGGTTTTATATAATTAGATTATAATTTTATATATATATATATTTTTTTTTTTTGAAATTAAAATAATATAATATAATTAGTTTTTTATTTTATAATATATATATTAAAATTAATTAAATAAAATAATTATTATTATATATTTAGATATAAAATATTTTTTTTTATTTGTGTATGAATAAAAGAAAATAAGTTAAAATTACTATTTTTAAAAAAAAAAAAACAGAAATTATAAATAAAAAGAAAAAATATAGAATCATTAAAAATATATAAAATATGAATATAAATAATTATAATAAAAAAATACATAGTAATGAATATATATAGATAAAGAAAAATAAAAAAAAATTAAATTAAATTCTATATAAAAATATATATTTATAAATAATAATTATAATTTATTATAATAAAAATATAAAATAGTATAAAGAAAATTAGTTAAAAAATATCTTATAAAAATAAAATCAATGAGTTTTTTTTTTAAATAAAATTAAAAATATAAATATTAAATATAAATTAAATAATATATTTCTATTAAAATAAATTATTGAAATATAAATAAAAATTCAAAAAATATATAAATAATATATTTTTATAATAATGATATTAAAAAGTTATTAATGAAAAAAATTATATAAAAAAAACTAAGAAAATCAGTATAAAAAATATAATTTTTTAAAACAAAAATTAAGAATAAAAAATATATAAAATTAGAATTTTAAACAAAAAATATAGGATTTTATATTTTTATTAAATATAATAATAAAAAATATTTGTTTAATTATAAAAAATTAATATTTAAAATTATATATATATATATATATATATATATATATATATATATATATAAATATATATATATATATATAAGAAAAAAAAAAATTTTAAATTAATAAAATAAATATTAAAAAAATATAATATATAATTTTTTTTAATTTATAAATTAATTAAATAATTAAATAAATTAAATATATTATTTGCAAAAATTTCAAGATAAGATATACTCTGATTTTAATAATTAAAAATTATATTTATTTTAAAATTTAATACTTATTTTTTTTTAATATTAATTAATTTTAATTTCAATAAAAATGTTTGCATTTAAAAAATATGTGAATGTTCGGCCATTATAAATTTAATAAATAGATTAAAAAAAATATACTATTATTTAGAATTAATAAAATATTTATTATTTTAAAAAATATATTATTCATTATTATAATATAATTTTAATTTATTATTTACTAAAAAAAAAATAAAAAAAATTCAACATGTATCTATAATAAAAAAATTATATTTTTATTAGAGCTAATAAAAAAAATATGTATTTTTATAAAATTAATTAAAAAAAAATATTTATTTTTAATTTTAATCTTGCTAAAAAATAAAATAATTTCTAAAACAAATATGATTTATGATTTAGTTATAATAGGATTAGGAGCTATGGGTTCTTCATCCCTATATCATGCTTCCACACAATATAATAATGTATTTTTAGATAAAATTATAAACTAAAACATATAAAAAATAATATTAAAAAAAAATCAAAGATATTAGCCATTGAATAATTTGAACCGACTCATAATAAAGGATCATCCCATGGAGAAACTAGAATCATAAGAGAAGCATATTATGAAGGTGAGTTCTATGTTCCTATGGCTTAAAAGTCTCTTGAATTATTTTTAAAATTATAAGAGGAATCAAAATAATAATTATATTAAAAAACTGGATGTTTAATTGTTGGGAAAGAGAAATCTAAATTGATAAGATAATCTTATTAAAGTGCAGTGAAACATAATGTAAGCTTTAAAATATATAAAACTAATCAAGAATTATAATAAAAAGTCCCTGGATTTACCTTACCTAAAGGATTTGTTGGATTATTTGATGAAACAGCAGGAATTTTATACCCTGAAAAATGTATATAAGCTCATATAAAAGTTGCCTTATAGAAAAACTAAAATATAAAGTTACAAACTAACACAAAATGTTTAAAGTTTTAATAAAAAGAAAACGGAAAAATAGAAATATAAACAAATAAAGGCACTTTTTATGCAAAAAAAGCAATTTTAAGTGCAGGAATGTGGACAAATAATTTCTATTCAAAATAAAAATTACATCTAAAAATTTAATAAAATACTGTTAGTTGGTTTTAAAATGATAATGAATTATATAATCCCAAATATTTTCCTACTTTCCTTATTGAATATGACTAAGATAAATATCTTTATGGATTTCCTGATATATTTTAAACAGGTATTAAAGTTGGATACCATTTATAGGGGAAAATGTTTGATTCCTAAGATGAAATAGGAGAAAAAGAGACTGATATAGGAGAAAAAGAGACTGATAATTAATTAATCCCTAAATTAAAAGAAGACATAAAAATATTTCTTCCAAATATATATGATTCGAAATGTAATAAATCTGTTAATTGCTTTTATACAATGACACCTGATCATCATTTTGTAATTGATTTTTATTTAAATAATACTAATATTGTAGTCTTAAGTCCATGTTCTGGACATGGTTTTAAATTTTCTTCTTTAATAGGAAATATGGCTTGTGAAATATTAGAAAAATAAGTCAATAAATATGATATGTTTAAAATCTAAAGACTTTAGGAAATAAAGCCTAATTTATGAAATATTTATTATTAAAAAAAAAAGCACAAACTCAACAGACACTTACTTTTTATATTTATTTTCTTTTCTTTTGTTTTTTTAATTTTAAATTTATTAAAAAAAAATAATGCTTTTTATTTTTCCTCATACTTAAAATTTAAGCGGGAATATATTTTCTTTTATATATATAAAATTACAATTATTATAAAACATATATAAATATTAAAATATATATTTAATATTTAATTTATTATAAAAAAATGGCATAATAATTAGTCGAAGGTAATAAATAAATCATAATAATGATTTTTTTTTTTTCTCATTAATAATTAAATTAATTTAAATAAGAATTTAACGATGGATATGAAAATTAAGCTATAAATGAAGAATATAAAATATGGAAAAAAAATGCACCTTTTTTATATGATGTTTTAATTACACATGAATTAGAATGGCCATCTTTAACAGTATAATGGTTACCAACTAAAGATATGTAAAAAAATTAAAGATTATAATACAAAAAAATAAATTAAAATAGACCTTAAGAAAGCGATTATGCTATACATAAATTATTACTATCAACACATACATCAGGATAAGAAAAAGATTTTTTATTAATAGCAAAAGTTAGACTTCCACTCGAAGAAACAACATCCGAAGTTCCTGAAAGCCAAGGTGTACAAATTAAAGAAATAGGCCAAAGTGCTGGAGATAATAGAATTGAAATAGAAACAAAAATTTTACATGAAGGAGAATCAAATAGATCAAGATACATGCCTTAAAAATATAATGTAATAGCATCCAAATTAAATAATGGTGAAATCCATGTTTTTGATTATACTTAACACCCTACTCAACCTGTAGGAGATTAAGTTAAGCCATAATTAAGACTTACAGGTCATACATAAGAAGGCTACGGGCTTTCTTGGAATCCCAATAAATAAGTAATATATTAAATAAAGGATATATATATACTTTATTTAATATATATATATATATATATATATATATATATATATATATATATATATATATATATTTATTAAAAAATAAAGGGTTATATATTATCTGGTGGTTATGATAAAAAAATATGTATATGGAATGTTGAAGCTGCTTCTTAATTAAATACTGCAATGAATCCTTATACTGAAATAAATTTTCATAAATCAGGTGTTGAAGATGTCGCTTGGCATTAAATTAATTCAGATATTTTCGGATCTGTTAGTGATGATAAAACTGTAGCTATGTAATTTTAAATATTTTATTTTTTTATATTTTTTTAAAAAAGATGGGATTTAAGATAAAGAAATACCGCAGGAATTATTAATCCAGTACATTGTACATAAGCACATAAAGGGGAAATTTATTGCATCGATTTTAACCCTTTTAATGAGTATTTATTCATTACAGGATCTGAGGATAAAACTGTTGCATTTTGGGATATAAGAAATACTACTAAAAGATTGCATACGTTTGAAGGACATACAGATTAAGTTTTAAGGGTAGAATGGAGCCCTTTTAATATTGGGGTATTTGCTAGTGCATCTTCTGATAGAAGAGTTATTGTATGGGATATTAGTAGATGTGGATAAGAAATAAAAGGTGAAGATTTGTAAGATGGTGCTGCTGAATTAATGTTTATGCATGGAGGACATAGAGCCAAGGTTAATGATTTTAGTTGGAATACTAAAGATCATCTTGTTATTGCTTCTGTGGAAGAAAATAATATATTATAAGTTTGGTAAATGGTAATTTAAATTTTAATTATAAGTATTTATATTTTTTTTAAAAAAGGCAAGAAATATTTATGATGATAATGAAGATGATAACAATTAATAAAATAATAAAAACTGAGTTTATTAAATTTTAAATAAAATAATATTTTTATATTAAAAGTTTATAAAATAAAATATAAATTTTTTCCTAAAATTTAAAAAATTTATATTAATTCTTTTTTTTTTGTTTTATAAAAAAAATATATTTTAAATTCAATATTAAGAAAAATTAAAATTACAAAAATATTGTAAATTTAAGAAAATAAAAATTACTATTTATTTAATTTTAAATTATATTTATAATTTTTAAAAACTATATTAATCTAAATATCAAAAATTTTAATATTATTTTTTTAAAAATTAGCTTAAAAATACTAATATAATAGATTTTATTTATAAATTAAAAAGAAATATATATTAAATAATGATTTCTATATTTTATTATATTTATCAATCATTTAATGAATATTATTAAAAAATAAATTAAAGAAAATTTTATGTTTGAAAAAAAAATTCTTTATAAAAAATAAATATTAAATCATATAATTAATAATTATAAATCATATTTAGCTACTATATTGTTACATTTTATATAAAGTATATTCTGATTTATCCATGCCAAATAAATCTCTTTATATTAACCCAATTTATTTAGATTTATCTTCCGTTTTTTAAATCGAATGTATTGGTCGGCTTAAAGAGTTAAATTAAGGACATTTCGGCACTTTGAAATCTTGAATGTTTTTATTACGTAGCTAATGAGTTAGCATTTAATGCATATATAAATAAGGCTAAAGTGTTCCATTTAAACTTTATTTCTTTATAGAAAAATTAATTTAATAAAATTTAATATAGAGATTTTACTTTCAATTATGGATAATTAATTTCTTGAAAAACAGGAATATTAACAAGTTTTTTCTATTATTTTTTTGGGCTCTAATTATTAGGAGATCGTAATTTAGTAGCTAGCATTTAATGCATTTATACTAAATTCTATAAAATAAGTAAGTTTTTAATAATTAAATAATAATAAAAATTATTATAACTAAAAGCGAAATAAAATAAAATTAAATAAAAATAAAATATATAAAAAAAATAAAATATATAAAAAAAAAAATTATAATATAAAAATACATTATAATATAAAATATAAAACAAAAAAATATAAAACAAAATAATATAATATAAATTAAAATAAAATAAAAAAATTAAATAAATTATAATTATTAATAATCAATCTTAAATAATATAATATAAATTTTTAATAATTGCTTATATATATAAAAATAACTAAATAATTTTTTATTTTTTTTATATATAAAATATTTAATTTTATATATACTATAAATATTTAATTTTTTTTCTTTTTATATTGAATGTAAATTTTTTAAAAATAAATTTTTAAATTCTTAAAAATATAAATAAAAATAAGAGATAATAATTTTTTATATTCTAATAATTTTTTTTTATTGTATTTTTTAAATATAATTCAATTTATTTATAAAATATTTAAGTCTTTCTTATCAATATCAAATTTCTAATTCTTATTTTTAGCTCTTAAATTATTTTAAATAAAAGGATGTTAATATGCTTGCATTAAATTAATTCTTTAACTAGGATTTTTAATTAATATATTTTAAATAAATTCAGCACCTTCAAACGAAATAGGTCCAGGAAAGTTTAAACTACTCTATTATATATATATATATATATATATATATATATATATATATATTTATATATATATATATATATTATTAATAATATAAATTATTTTTACTTTGACAACTTTTTTGAATATAGCATCATGATTCTATGCTGTAAATGGTGCTTTTCCAAACATCAATTCATAAGTAAGTACACCTAAACTCCAAATATCTACTGAAAAATCATATTCTTTTCCTTCAACCATTTCAGGACTGACATAATCTAATGTCCCGCAAAAAGTTTATCTCATTTAATCTTTTTATACAATCCCAGAACATCCAAAATCACAAAGCTTTAAAATTCCCTTATTTAATATTTTATTATTTATTTTTTGTTTTAAAAAAAAATAAATATACTGAACAAATCATTATATTTTCAGGTTTTATATCTCTATGAACTATATTTTTAGAATGAATATATAATAAAATATCTATGATCTACACTATAAAATTAGCTGTTTGTTATTCTGTATATCTTTTATTCTATTATAATTTCATATCTGCGTATAATTCTTATCCACAAGCTAATTCCTACATAATATAAAATATATCATTTTCATAGAAATAACCATATAATTTAGTTATTCCAGGATGATTTAAAAAAGCTAAAGCCTTTATTTCGTTTATAATATCTCTTTCCATTTTAAATTCTAAAACTGTTTCTTTTTTTATTTATTTAATTGCAAATTTAAAACCAGTTTATTTTTCCCTATTTTAATTTAATAATAATAATAATTATTTTTTTACATTGCTAAATATATTTCCGAAAATTTACCACTACCTAGTTTTTTTCCAATAACAAATTAATCTATAGAAAAATTTTATTATGTTTATTATTAAGCTAAAGGAAAAGTAATTTATGGCATTTATATATTAATATCTGCTTTATTTATGTTAACTTCATCTTTTATTACTGGAGATGTTTCTTATATTTCGGATTCACTTATTTTATTTAATTATGGCAATAAATTTTAAATCTCAGTAGTATTTTTTTATTCTAAACCATCAGTGTAATTAGTTTCTGGTAAAAATACATTTTCTATTTATTATTTTATTTATTAATTTGGTTAATTTTATTATTTGGATTATATATCTTTAGATTCTTAAATTATTTTATCTATTTCATCAATATATCCATCATTTAGCTCCTGACTTGAATATTAAATAGTTTTATTTGTATCTTAAAGTTATTAGCTTTAAATTGATTTATTAAATAAATTATCATCAATTAATTTAGTTTAAGGCATAAAAATAGTTTTTTTTGGAGAATTTTTTTTATTTATTGCAAAATCACTAAAATTAGTATTTTCATAAATAATGTTTAAATTTAAAGAACCTGATTTAAAATGAGAGCCGTTATTTTTATTATTATCTTATTTATTCATTTTAATAGAAGCAGGACTTTATATGATTTCTTTTTATTTTACTTAATTTATAATACTATCAATACTATGAGAATATTAATTTTGAAAATTACAAAAAATATTAACATCTGATTATTTAATAGGTAGTATTAAATCATGAATCAAATTGTTGTTTGTATATAAATCTTATTTGTTTTATTGTTGTTAACTTTATTAATTATTAAAAATTGAAGTAAATTCTTCCTACTTATCAACATTCTTTTTAGATTATAAGTTTTCAATTTCAAATGGTTGTATTTATATGTTATTTGTCACATGAGAAATAGATTAATTATTATAATTAAAATTTAAAGAAGAAAATCGATTATGCTTTATTTCGTTTGGAGATTATAAGTTTGTTTAATTATTTATATTATTTTGTATTTCTAAAGATTAATTATTTATATAATTTAAATTTCTTTAAACACTAAATTCTTATATTATTTTGTTTATTTCATCAGGCTAATAAGAATTATTATAATCATTATTATTATTATTATTATTATTATTATTATTATTATTATTATTATTATTATTATCATTAATTTTTATATCATTAATATTAATATCGATGTTATTTTTTAATAATATTATTATTATAATTCTTCTTTTATTTATTCTTATTTTTAATTTTTTATATAATTTTTACTTTCTTCTTAAGTTTAATTTTATTTTATAATAATTAACTTATTATATATACTTTCAATTTATTTCTAAATATTTTTTATTTTTCTACCATTGAATCTATTTCATTTATAGAACATTCTATATATTTAAAAGTAAAGAATAAATCTTAAACCATTTTTTCTAATGGCTCAAATTTTATTTTTAATGTTTTATTTATTATTTCTATTTATATTTATTCATTAATGTCTTTAATTTAAAAAATATATTTAAAAATAAATATATTGTTATTATATATATTTTTTTAATTTAATATTATGAATTCTATTGTTAAAATATATTATTTAATTTAATTTTTTTATTATACTTTATGAGTCTTTTACCATTTTAATAAAAAAAAATATTTATTATTGTTTTTATTTCTTTTCAAAATTTTTATTATTTACTTTATTTATTATTTTTTTAATTTTATTTAAGTAAATATAAAATAATTAAGGTTTATATTTTTATTGAATTATTAAATAATTGATAATATAAACCATTTTGTTTTAATCTTATATAAAATTTCAAAATTTCTAATATAAATATTTATTTTTTTATAAAATTTTATTTTATTAAAAAATATAAAATAAAATAAATCAATTTTTTTAATTAACAATTAGAATAAAAATTAAATAAATGCTTAAAACAAACTGAAGTAATTATTAAATAAATATTAAAAATATAAAATTTATTTTATAATGACAATTAACTATTAATATTTTTCTTTTTTGATTTGGTTTTTTAAAAAAGCAAATATAGCGAAGAATTGTATTAATTATTATATTATTATATTATTTTATACTAATTATTAAAAAAAAAAAAATCCAAGTTTCACTAAAAAAAAATATATATTTTATTATATTACAAGTCTAAATACACCAAATTATTTATTTTAGTATATAAATATTTAAAAATACAATTTTATTTTATTTATAATAAATTTTTTTTTGGAAATAAAAAATTATCAAAAAATTTTAAGTACTTATTATTTATAAAATTTTAAAATGTATTAAAAGGTTTAATAAAGTTTTAAAAAATTAAAAAATAATTATTTTATAAATTAATATTATAAAAAAATAATGTATGTAAATTACATAAATTTAAAATTATTTATAGATATTTTTTATATTTTGAAAAAAAATATTCATTATTAAAGAAAATAAAATAAAAGTATATATATATCTTTATATATTTATAAAAAAATTTAAATTTTATACACAAATTAAATATATATAAGTCATAAATTATAAATAAAAATATAATATAAATTGTATATTTTTGATATTTTTGATATTTTATCATACTAATATTTCGTATAATTAAGTTAACAAAGAAAAATACAATTCTAAGTCGATTATAATTCAAACGTATTAAATTATAAAAACAATATTTATATTTTCAATAAAAAGACAATAAATTTTCATGAAATATAATAATAATAATGTTAATTCTTATAATTACAAATAAGATTTAAATTCAAAAATTTATGAATAAGAAGAATATTGATTGAATCGATTGTCTCTGAGAAAATTTTCAATGTAAATAATGCTATTAACTTAAATAAATTATATAAAAAAAGTTTAAATTGTTTAAAGCTAAACATATTAGTGATATTTAATTAAGATAATACTAAAAAAATATCAACAAATTAAGTATTAAAGATGTATAAATTATAATTACAAAAATACAAATAGATAATATAAACATATTTTCGTAATACTCCTAAAAATAATTAAATTATCTACACTAAATAAAATAGAAATAAAAAATATAAATAAAATAATTAGTAGTATTATTTATTGAAAAATAATAATAATAATAATAATATATAAATGAATATAAATTCTATGTAATTGTATTGTAAAAATTATATAAATATTTCAAGCTATTACTATTAACATTATTTTTAAAAATTAATATAATATAGATTTTTAGAAAAACATATTTGTATATTCTTATAAGATAATCCTTTTAATTAGTATGATTAACTTATTATTTATAGCATTTAAATATGAGGAAATAATCCCATCTACTATTAAAAATTCTATAGATATAACTTAAGGCAATTATACTAAAAATATACTCTTAAGTTTGGATCAACGAAAAAATTAAAATACCTATTTCATATATTAACTAATAATGTTTTTCATATTATCTTTTTACTCAAAACTTTAATATATTCTCATTTATTCCGAAAAAAAAAAAAAAAAAATTGAAATAGAAAGAGTTTATGACTTTTTTATATATATTTTCATTTTAAATTAAAAATTTAATTTGTTTTTAATTAACCTTTTAATATATTTTTAGGTTTTTTTTTAATATATTAAATAAAAATCAAATCTTTTTTTATAAAAATTTATAATTTAAGTTTAAAAATGAATTCTGATTGTAAATTATAGTCAGATAATTTGAAATAATTAGATACATTAAAGTATTCTGCTTAAAATGATAAATAATTTAAATTAGAAAACGGAGAGAAAATCTTACTTTCATGTCAATTGACAAAAATAAATAGAAAAGAAAAACATCAAGCCCGTAATTTTGTAATTACTAGTAAAAGGATATTTAATGTTGGTAGAAGTATAAAGCGTATAATAAATATATAAAAAATATCAGCAATTTCAATAAGTTTAACATCTTCAGAATTCGTAATACATGTGAATTAAGAGTATGATTATAGGTTATAATCAGAGGATTTACGAGAAATATTTATTTTTTATATATTTGCAACACATTATAATCTAGAAAATAAAGACTTATTATTATTTACACATATGAATTAAAGATTAGAGAATTATTGCACTTAAGAATCTGATATAAAAAATAAAATTAGTAAAGTTCCTTAAATTGGAGGATTTTCTTGTAATATAATGAACTTAAATTTCAAATTATCAAACAAATTTTTAAAATAAGATGAAGAAATAGTTTATATAAAAAAATAAAGCATTTTAAAAATATGGATTAATGATTTTGAGCCGCTTTTTAGCATACATTAATAATCAGAAAAAAAATAAACTAAAGTTTACTTAGTAAAGCTTAAAAAAAACATTGATTATATTCAAAAAAAAAAATCGAAATTTTATGTTCTTAAAAAGCTAATAGTTAATACTATAAATGAGAAAAATAAAATATATTAGAAAATTTAATAAAATTTACAAAAATAAAACAAATATTGTATACCTTTAAAGTTTTGTTTTTTATAAAAGAAAAATAATAACTTTGAATTTTATTTTATTATTAATTTAATAAAAGGAGCTGATTTATTCAAAATAATTTAACTCTAAAATTATCTTTTTGAAGAATAAGCAAAAAATATATTCGTTGAAATAGTTAAAGCTTTAGATTTTTACCATAATAAATTATAAGTCCCTTATGGAGAACTTATACCTGAAAACATAATGATTGATTGTTAAAGCAATAAGATTTTCTTAACTGAATATAAAAATGAAAAATAAAACGAAAATTTTCAAACACTTGAATATATGCCACTTGAACTTTTAAAAGGAAATCCTAAAACCTTTAGTACAGATTATTGGTCATTAGGGATTTTACTTTATGAAATGATTGTTGGAATTACTCCTTTTTATTATGAGAATGAAGAAGAAATAACTATTTAATTAATATAAGAAAATTAAATATATTTTCCTTCATATATCGAAATTTCTGCTTCAGCAAAAGATATGGTATTCAGTCTTTTAAAGAGTGATCCTATGAAAAGAATAGGAGTTATAAATGGCATTTTAGAATTTAAATAGCATTAATGGCTTTAAGATGTTGATTGGGAAAAAAATGCTATTAAATTAAATATATATGATAAAGATAATATCTTTAAATACCTTGACTATAAAGACTTAATTAATAGAGATAATTTATTATGAAAGTTAAAATAATATGTATTTTTTTTTTTTAATTATAATTTTTTTCTATAAAAATATTTCAATTTTTGCAAAAATGATTAAATATAAATGAAAAATAACAATACAAAAAATTTATTTATATAGACTATCCTTTCTAATTTTCGTTAATTTCCGAACTGAACAAAAAAAATTCTGAAAGAGAATTTTCAGTTTAGTATGAAAATATTTTTTCTAAAATAATAAAAATTAGAGTTCGGCTTCAATAAACTCAGCATTTTTTCATAGTTCGAAATATCTTATATACACTGTTAACTTTAATTAATTAATGTCCCCAACCTAATTTAAAATAGGCTTTAAAGGACTTAATTTTAACTCCTTAAAGAAAAAGAAAAAATAACTGAATTTGCCCTATTCAAATAAAAAGGCTTTTCCTTATTGGTAATTATCAAAAAAAAAAAAAGCTTTACTTACACAATTTAAATTTCAAATTATTAATATTAAATATATTTATTATTTTATTCATATTTGTTTAATTTATATTTTTAATAAAAAGAATGCATAAAATGGATAGATATATGTTAGTAAAAGATCTATTAAAAAAAATTATGCAAAAAAGGTTAATAAATATAATTAATTTGAAAATTTTTTGATTTAAAAAAATAAATTTATTTTAATAAAAATAACAATTTAAAAAAAAAGGTAATAATAACTAATTTATATTGTCATTACTTAATTCAATATGATAGCTTAAAATATATAATTTTTTTTTGTATAAAAATAATTATTTATAACAAAGCTATTATTAAAAATTAGATTAATAAATAATTATTTTTTGAAGTCATTAGATAAAATTATTTGTATGTAAATGAAAGATTAATAATTAACTAAAATTGCTACTTTAATAAAATAAAATCATTTATTATAATAAAATATTAACTGATATTTCTATAAATTAAGCTTACGAATTATATTTTAAATAAAATTTCTTAAAATAATTTTCATAATCAACTAAAAATAAAAATAAATTTATCCTAATATAAAAATTCCTAAATCAAACTTTAATTCAAGTTTTTATTTTCGATTTGAAATTTTACCTAAAAATCAAATTTTCTGTTTATATGCATTTTTTTTTGATTTTCTGTTCCAACTTGAAAAATAAAACCCTATAAATCTCTATTATTTGCTTATTAAATTATCAAATTTAAAAATTAAAAATATAATTAATATTTATATTAATAAAATATATATTTTTTTTAAAAAAAAATAATCATTATTTCTATTCAAAAAGCTTTTTAAAATAAGTCATATCGCAAGATTCTGGTCTTTCAATAGGCAATCCATAAGCTCTACACCAAACCAAATTAGTTAAAATTCCCAAACTTCTCGAAATTGCGAAAAGAACTGTATAAAATTCATATTCTTTGATTCCTAATTAATAAAGTAAAGTACCTGTATGAGCATCTACATTAGGAAAAGGATTTTTTATTTGTTTATATTTTCCTAATTACTAAGGAATCACATCAGTTAGTTTATGTAATAATTTTACCATTTTATCTTCTTTTAAATGTTTTTATGAAAACTCGTAAAAATGATTAAATCTTGGATCAACAACTCTTAAAACAGAATGTCCAAATCCTTTTTTAAAATAAATAAATATAATACTATCTATTACCTGGAATTAATCTTCCTTCAGTAATATGTTAGTCAACATACTATTATATTTAAGTTTCCGTAGAGTCATATCCATGTAATTTTATAAATTAAAGAATCCATTTTAAAGCCTCTTCACTAGCAAGACCATGTAGAGGACCTTAAATTCCATTACAAGCAGTTGAAAGTGACAAATAAGGGTCTCCTAATGCTGATCCAACTACATAAGATCCATGAGTAGAAACTTCTCCTCCTTCATGATCTGCATGAACAGTTAAATAAGCTCTTAGACATTCATTAAGAACCTCATTATTTTAATTACCCATCATATAAGTGAGTTATTCAGTCCAATCTAATCCCATTCCCTAATTTTAAAGAATGATTTCCTTATTATATTTTCTCCTGTAAATAGTAGCTGCAATACGAGGTAATTTAGCAATTAAATCAACTGAATCTTCATACACATATTCCCAATAATTAGACTTATTAAGTTTTTATTATCCATATAAGCTAGCAAACTTAGATTCTCTCTACTCATACATAATAACCATAGAAAGCATAGTCAATGGATGTAAATCCTTATCCAAAGAATTTATAAATCTCTACAATTCATTTGAAAGACCTCCTCTAGCATCCCATTCTTATCTAACTTATTCAACCTATTCAAAAGTTGGTATTACTCCGGTTAATAGAAGGAAAAAAATACCTTCGGGTAAAGGTTATTATTTTAATAAATTAATAGATTAATCTTCTGTACGCTTTGGGAGTAATTTAGTTACTTAAGAAACTGTGTGCCCTCTGAATAATACACCTTGCTTAGAATCTACTGTAGATTAGTCGTAAAACAATGCGGGGATTCCACGCATTCCTCGTATTACTTAATTTACTTAGTATTAAGCTACGAATTTGTCACCGAACTTTTCTTTTACTTCTTTTAATTCTTTTTATTTTATGGGAATTCGCTCTTTTAATACTCTTTTTAATGGTAGTTTTGAATTCGAAAATTAAAATAATGGTATAAAATTTTTCATATTTTTTTTGTTTTTATTAGAATTTATTATATATTTTTTTTATTAGAATTTATTATTTATTTTTTATATATATTTTTATTTTCTTTTTATGATTTGCTTTTCTAGCTTTTCATTTATATAACACTTATTTTAAAATATAAACAAAATTTAATGTTTTTTTTTTATTATTTGCATAAATATATATTAATGAAAAATCAGCAAATATTTTTTTATGAATTATTATATATATCTAACTTTGTTCTTCTTTTCAAATTTATCTATAAAAAAGTAAATATGCTTATTAATTTTAAGCGTCTTCTTATTTACATTACTCTATATTTTCATCATCACAAATCCACCACTATTAATTGATTAAATATATAAAAATAATTTTTAAAATTTATATTAGTAATATAAAAAATTTATGAACTTTATCATTTCTTTTATTGAAATTAATATAATGCCCATATTCCATTCCTCCAAAATGGACAATTTATCCTATTAATTAGTATTTAGTATTTCCCTAATAATCTATTTAACAATACCTAAAAATATATGAAAAATAAAATAAAATTGTCACTCAATATAAAGATTAAATTTTTAATATATATATATAAATTAAAATAATGTATAAATAATTCTAATTAAAATAAAAATATACTTAACTCTTTTAAATCAATAAATTGTTAAAAGTTAACTTTTTGATTAATTTTCATTTTAGTAGGATAAATTTTAAATCTCATTAAATGTAAACACAATATTTTTGGCAAAATACTAACTTTATTATTTTTCACAGCTCCATGCTTTTTATTACATTTATCACATTAATATCCTTCCAAAATTTAACTTTAAAAGAAAAACTTCAAGCATTATACAAGTGTAGGTTCTATTGATAAAGATAAATCTAAAAAAGGGTCAAAAACATTCGATATATGCTTACAGTTTTCACATATTATATTTGAAACAATTTACCCGTAAAATAAATTATTTATAATACTTTTATTTTCATTTTAATATTATAAAAGCGCTTTCTTATTATTCTTATCTTCTTATTTTATTTTTTAAACTACTTCATTTAATTCATCATCTAATTAATTTAAAAAATATATTAAATATTCATGAGCATCATGCTATTCGTAACAATCAAAAGCTTATTATGATAATTATTATAATTAGTTTAAATTTACAATATTTTACAAAGTACATTTTTCAACACTTTTTAAAACATTAGTATATGCTGAACAAAAAATTTTTAGTTTTGTATTTTTAATTTCTTTATATTATTCATTATAAAAATATTCATTTAATTCATTTATTGATAAAAGCATTTAAATACATGCATTCATATAACAAAAGTTTTAATTATTGAAAAAGCCAACTGGTCTTATAAAAAATTAATTTTTATATTCTCCTTTATAAGTGTTTTGCAATTATTATTTATTTTTAAAAATATAATTAATTCTTGATTTTTACAATTTAATTTCTGGGCCACCACCATATAAATTTTTTATTATATACCATGTTGGTTCATTTATTATAATATAATCTACGTCTTCTTATGTATTTTAGTTTAATTAACCTGTTATATCTAATAAATTATTGTTATTAATTTATCCTGGTATATTTTTGTAATCTTCCTATTCTAAATATTAAGAATAAGCAATTGCCCATTTAATATTTAATAAATATTAAGTATATGAAATAGATTAACGATATTTCAAAATTAAGCCTTTTTCAAGATATGTCCTTTTAAAAATTAATATATATTATAAAAATAATATTATTTTTTTTTATAATTATTATATTATATATATAAATTGTTTATTTTTTTAACCTTTATTAATTTTTATTAGACTTTATTTATCTAATACAATTATCCAATTCTTAATTTCTTAACTAAATAAAATATAATAAAAAAATATTAATTTATAACAACAAAACTATTATTTTATATTTTTGAATTCACATTTAATCTATTATTTTATATATTTAAAGATTTTATTGGGCTTAAAAAATCTTAACTATTTTTATGACTAAATTATATATCATTTGTACTAAATTTTTAATAACTTTTATATTTAATATCGTCATTATTTGTAGAAACTATTATCTTTGTTTTATATTATATTATAATATGTTTTATAATAAAATAAATAACTTTTTAATCTTTTTTCTATTTTAAAGAAGGAAAACAATTAGCTAACTTTTAAATTAAAAAACTCATTATTTACTTTTATTTATTTTTAATTAAAATGTATATATAATAAAATTTATATAATAAAAATTGATAATATTTTATTAACTATCTATCTATTATTTTATTTTATATTTTCTCATTTTTTATAAATATAATAATATTTTAATATTTATATTCTAGAAAAAAAAAAATTAATTTTAAAATATACTATTTTTTAATTATTTAAAAAAAAAACATAACAAAAGCATAATAATTTTAAATTTTCACATATATTCATTTTCAAATTCCTATAAAGTAGCAGGGCATGAACTAGCTTTTCCTTAATTTAATTCTTTATCTGAACATAAACACATAAGTAACGAATCTGCAGCGATTCCATATATGTTCATGAAAATTGATCCAACTGTATATGAAATAATAGCAAACATCTATTTTTATTTATAATATAATAAAAAAAATATTAATTATTTCTCTCAGCAAAATTATAAAAAAAATATTTTTTTAAATTTTTTCTATTATATATTATAAATTCTAAAATTATATATTTATGAATTAAAAATAAATATTAAAATACTAAAATAGGTATTCCCGGCGAATATAATTTTTCATTATATTAAGGAATAGAAGTTAAAAGTACATAACCAATGATAGTTGTAAAAGTAAAAATAAACAATTTACCAAAATAAACAAATATTTTACCAACACCTAAAATAAAAAATATATTGAAAAAAATAAAATTTTTATATAATATATATATATATATATATATATATATATATATATATTTTAATTTTATATATTTTTAAACCATGTGTAATTGAGAATTAAGCAGCGTTTCTAAAAATTAAATAAAATGCTTTCTTAGCTCCTGAACAGAATCCATCTCCTGATAATGCAATCATAATATAAGCATTAGTATTAATAAATCTTATGAATTTTTCAAAACAATTAATACAACATTTACAACACTTCATGCAAAAATTAGCAGTTTCGTTTCCTGAAACATTAGTTTTTATTTAATCATAAAATAAATTCACAAAGAAATTAACAAGAATAACAATCCCAATAATCATACTTCCTAAACATACTGAACCTAATAAATTTATTTATAATTTTATTTTAATTAATAATAATAAAAAAAAAAACCTAAATGAAATGTAAAAGCTCTACAAAATGATTTAGATATAGGGCTATTAAATTCTCCTCCTGGCCTATGTGAGAAATACCACATACATACACAGCTAGCAATAATAAGTTAGGACATTCCAATAGCAAATTCAATATTCCAAAATAAACCAAATAAATAATACAATAAGCATCTTTTTACACCTTTATTCCATTTAATAGATGCGAAAGGATTTTCGGGTTTATTCATTATTTCTCCTGAAGAAAATATATATAATGAGATTACTATCCAAAAAGCAAAAAATCCAATAATTGCTATACACATTATTATTGGAATTAAAAATGATTACGGCACTTCTTTAGTAAAATCTGATGCCGCCTTCATTATTGCTATTGATTTTTTTATTTTACTAAATAAACACATAAATACTATTAAAGAAAAGCCAGCTAATATAAGGAAAAAATACCCCAAACCTTAAAGGATATCTTAATTTTGCAAATTTTTCGGCAAATTACTAGTATCTTAATATGATTTATAAATACAAAGAACCCCAAGTACAATTAACAATACAAAATATCCTATTATCAGCATCCATGTTATAGCCCCTGCACATAATCTCATTAATAATAAAAATATGAGACTTTAAAAAATATATATTGTATATTATTTTTTATTTTATTTTTTTACGCAATAAAAAACGAAATTACGGTTACTGCTATTAAAATAGGCCAAGAAGTACGTAAATCACTCATCCATTATTCTGGTTCTCCTATATTAAGTTATTTTTATATGTATTTTGCAGCATCACTTTAAGTAGGAATACAAATGGATACGACTTTTTAAAAAAAATATTAAAAATTTATATTTATAAAAATTACATTTTATTGTTGAATAAATATTTAATTGTGTACAATTCTTAATAGATATATTTACTAGACATTCAATTTTTAAGCCTTTATCAATATCTTTTTAAGAAAGGCAATTTTTTACACAAGCATAATTTTATTATTTTAAACTTAAAGAATCAGCAAAGTATAAATAAGGAAAATCTTAAGCTTAACCATATCCACATTATACACCTTTATAGAAATAAATATTTATTTAAAAAAAATAAATAAACCATTCGGATCAAAAGGAGATGCTAACCTTTTTGGGTCTCCCGTTTTAGTTGCTAATAAGGCGATGGCTATTAATCCTCCCCAAAAAATAATATAAATAATTAAGAAAAAAATATCTTTGCATCCTCGGGAAGTAGTAGGTCCATAAGCAATATTAGGATGCAATTTTTCTCCTTAATATTATTAATTATTAATAAGTTTTTCGTTTTAATTATAGTGCATAAATTAATTATTTTAATTTTTATTGTTTTATATCTTAAATTTAGGTGATATATATTTAAATTAACAAAATATTATGCTATATATAAAATTATTTTATAAATATAATTCACTATGCTAATATTACCAAGATATAAATTAATTATATTTTGATTTAAAAAAAATAGAAAAATATTAAAATAAATAAATAAATTATATATATATATATATATATATATATATATATATATGTTAAAAATTATATAGATACATAAATTAAATATATATATTTACGTACTAACCTATACTATTTTTATTATTATTATTTTAATATTTAATAATATGTATTTTTTTTTTAAATATAATTTTATTAAAACATATTTTTACTAATATAAAATATTTAAAATTTATATATTTTTTTTTAATTATATATTATTTTATCATGTTTTACTATTATAGTAATCTTTGTATATTTACAGATTTCTAATTGATGAGCAGCTATCTATATTTTAATTTTTTTTTTTATTCGTTTTTATGTTACTGTTTTTTGATAAAAATTCGCTTTAATTCCAATTCTTTAATTTAATTTTAAAATAAAAATCATAATTAAATTTATATAATTTACATTTCTTTGTACAAATATTAGGCTTTCGCTTTCTCTATTTACTCTATTTACTTTTTACTAATTAACTTTCTATATACTACTCATAATTCTATTTTAATTATTTTAACTTATTTTATTAGATTAATTAATTTTAGGTGTAAAAGTGCATTCTTTCTTAAGTTTTTGCTATAGATATCCATTTATTTTATCTTTTTAACTCTACTTCTATTATTTTTTCGTTTTTGATAATTCATATAGTCTTTCCCCAGCGTTCTTCTTTTCTCCAGAAATCTTTCTTTCACTATTATATCTTTAAATATTTTAACTTTATTACATAAGTTGACATTTTTATTAACAAAGCTTAAATCTTTATTCATTAAATTCTTCTCTTTTATTTAATATAGAAATAGAGCTATTATTATTATTGTTAAAATTGTTTTAATTAAAGTTTTTATACTCACAATTTATATTCTCTTCTATATTATTTATGTTATTATCATTATAGTTATTACTTTTTATTTAAGAATGATATTATTCCTTTGTTTAAAACTAAGTAATCATATCATTAAAATCTTCTAATTATTATATTTTTTTTATTTATAAATTAATAATATCTTCTTAATCATTACTTTTTTATTATAAACTATTCACTTATTAGGTTAATTCAAAAATATTATTTTCTAATTTTCTTATTTACTATTGATGTATTTTATATTATTCTTAATTATATTAAATTATATTTTAATTATTACATATTATTTCATCTTTTAATATTTACTCCATTTATTTTAAATCTAAATAAAAATCATTTATTTTTTATTCAATTTTATTTTATCCATTTTGGAATTCTTATAATTATTTTTCCGTTATCTTTTATATAAACTCGTTTTATAAAATAACTTAATTATCTTTATAATTCTTGAGTTTTTCAATAATTTTTGCCCCTTCAACTAATTTTTAATTCTCTTATTTATGTATTTCAACTAATTATTTTTAAAAGTTTATTTATTATTATTCTTCTTCTACTTGTTTAGAATTTCCTTTATTTTTTTAAATTGTATCTTTAATATTTTTTTATATATTTTCTTAATTTATTTTATCTTTTTCTTTTTTAAAATTAAAATTAGCCTATTGTTCTATATACTCATTTCTTAAATAATCACTACTTTCATATTCTTCTTTTATTTCTTCTATTATTTCATCTTTAAATATGTTAATTTCTTATTTTTGTATATCGGCGTTTCTATATTATTAAAGCATATTAAAAAGCTTCTAAGCTTTTGAAGTTAACTAAATTTCCTATATTTAATTCAATTTTATTTTTTCTTAAGGAAGTGAAGGTACAAATTACATTAATTTTTTATAGGTATATAAAAATATCAACTATTTATTAAAATTTATTAAATTTTTTACAAACAGTTTATTTTTTAATATCAATAATTATAAATATTACATTTAATTTATAATTATATTATATAGGATTAAAATATAATAAGAAAATAAAAAAAAAAATTATAATAAAAAGGAAATAGTTTTAATATCTAAATAAAATTGGTTATATATATCATTCTACATTCCTATAAATGATCACTAATATATTTTCAGAATGTAAAACTAAAAAAGATTATAAAGTGGTCATTTTACTTTTTATATGGAATATATTTAGGACTATATAATTAAAAAAAAAAGGTACTAGACCCATGAAAATTTAAAGATTTAGAATTTAAAATTAATTAAACAAAAATTATAAATTTAATTTTTGCTAATTATTTAAACTAAAATTTTATATTTAAAAACTTTATAAATTCATTAATTTTATAATGTTTAATATATATATATATATAATAATTTTAGTCTTTAATCACTACTATTTTTTATTTAATTATTTCTTATTATGATAAAAATTATCCAAAACCTAAGTATATATATTATCTTATTTTTATTTTTCATTATTAATATTATTAGTATTTATTTTATTTTTATTGTTTTTAAAAGATTCTTAATTTTATAGACTTTCGTAATTATCTTTAATTCTATATTATAAGTTATCTTTTAAAAGTTTTATTTCATTATTTTTTAATTTAATTTCTTCTTATTATTAAAAAATTTAATTCTTATTAGTCTATTGTTCATAAATTAATTCTTAAATTTATTTTTACATGCTTTATAATTATAATTAAGTATTTTTTTTGTATTCTTTTTCTTAAAAAAGCTCTTTTTGTAATTCTTAATTTTCAAATTAAGTGTTTTAGTTAAATTCTTAGCCAGAAATATAACTTTTTAATTATTATATTTCATTTTAAATTTTCGAGTGAGAGTTTAACAAAGCTTAAGCCATTTTTTTAGAAATATCAGTTTACTAATACAGCTAATTTCTTAGAATAATGCAATTCTTTATGCTTTGTTTTAACTCTTTTTTTTAATATAAATCTTTTTTGAAAAAATTGATTTTAAAATCGAAATTTTTATCATTTTTTTGCTGTTTTTTCATGCTATCTTTTATTAATTTTGATTATTATTTTACTTCTTTTAACTTTTCTTCTAATTAATTATTTTAAATATTATATTTGTTCAAGTTTTCTATACTTTTGTTTAATTTTTCTACGTATTTTTCAAAAATATCACTTTATTATATTCCTTTTTACTCAAAAATCTATATTTATTATAGCAAATCTTCCTATTCTTAATTACTTATAGGATTTTCTTAAAAATGATTAAAAATTTATTAATTGCTTTAATCTAATTTGTTTAAATCCATTTACTAATTAAAATCTTAAATAAATTATTATTCTTAAAGTATTTATTTTTAGCAATTATTATCTTAATTTAACACTTCCATTACAAAATTTTATAAATTATTGTTTAAGGAGGTTTATTATATATATTAATTTTAGAAAATATCGTTTTAAATTGCTTATTCTATTTATTCATTTTAAAAAGTACAGTTTTAGGGTAGTAGTTATTCTATTAATTAATTTTAAAGATTATTTTTTAAGACTGTTTAATCTATTTTATCATTTTAATAGTTATATTTTTAAAAATTTTACTCTAAAATTTAATTTTAAATGTTATTATTTTATAAATTTGATTCTATATGAACTTAATTTGTTTTAAAATTATCAATAGAGTCTTTATCATTAATTTAAGTTTATTCTTTTATTTCATAATTTTTTTAATTATTATTATTAAAATCTTTAAATAATTCTTCTTAAAACAATATTTTTTCATTTGATTTAATTTTTTCATGTTAATGTTATTATTTATTTTAACTTAAATGATTTTTAGAATTATCAGTTTTCAATTTTTTTATATTTTGTGATAAATACGAATTTTATAATAACTTTTTATTTTTATTAGTATAAAATTAATTAAAGTTTTACTTTTAATAAAACTTTTACTATTATAATTTTAATGAAGTATCTTCTATTTAGTTATTTTCTTTTATAATAGCTACGGATAATTAATTAAGATTAATATTATTTGTATTTAAAAAATTATTTTAATATTGAATATTATTATTATTATTATTTGATAATTTACAATATTAATTAATTATATCCATTGATTTCATATTTTATTTTAAATTTAATGTTAAAGAAGAAGTTAGATTATTTTCTTCATATTAATCTTAAATATAATGATTTGATAGTTTAGTAATAGTTTATTTTTTTATCATTATTGTATATAATTTAATAAATTTATTATAAGAATAAAAATTAATTAACGAATTAAAAATATAAATAAAATAAAAAAAATAAGTAAAAAAAAGTATATTAAAATAAAAAAAAAAAATATTTAAAATAAGTAAAAAAAATTATATGTATATAAAATATTACTTTATATTTTTAAAAAGATATTAAAAAGTATTTATTTATATATTTATATATTTATATATTTATATATTTATATATTTATTTTTAATAATTATTTATATATATTCATATATATTTTTTTTATTTAAATATTAATATATTATTTTTTTTATTTATAAACTTACATTTACATAATATTTTATTTTTGTTATTTATAATATTTATTTTGTAATTTTTCTAATTTTTTTTTTAAATTATTTGTTTTACATGATATATATTTTTTTTCTTATATTTTCAATTTTTTTATTAATAATAATTTTCTACTAAATTATTTTTTATTTTTTACTTTTATTTTATTTCGAATATATTATGATTAATTAATTTATATATTTTTTATTAATTTTTTTATATCTTATAATATATAATAAAAATTAAGTTATTTTTTTTTAATTATTTTTCATCATATTCTATTCTATTTTATTTTTTTATTTTTATTTTAATAAATATCTAAGATATTTAATTTTAAGCATAATAATATAGATATATAATTAAATAAAAATAGAAAATCTTTTTTATTTCTTTAAAGTTATACTTCATATTTATTTAAA